CTTCCTGTCTAAAGAAGCGATATGCATTCCAATGCAAGACGTCATTTGATTTGTTGGCTCTTTTGTGCCATCGATCTCGTGTCTTCATTAGTTGACGAATTTCAGTCGTGACAAATGGATTTGGTCTTGACTTGATCTTTACTCGCTTCAAGGGAGCGTGATCATTTAAGATGTCTGTAAATAAGGCATTAAACGTCTCCACTTGGTCGTCAAAGTCGTCAAACATGGATATCATGTGAAATGGTACAAACGCCAAATCCTCACAGAATCGTTTAGCATTGTATTTAGTGTAACTCCTAATGGTGACATAAGAGGGCTTAAGGCGTGGGGTCTTCAGTGCCATTACAACGTAAACAAGATGGTGATCACTTATTGAGCAGGCGACTGCATCACTGAGGGTGACAACATTCACGTTTGTAGTCATAATTACGTCAATGAGAGATTTTGTGGTTTCTGTGATCCTTGTCGGTTTCTCAATAAGTTGATGTAGATTAAACGTTGATGCAAAATCCGTAAGTGAGGTAGCCTCGGGGCTAGAACCCAAGAGATTGCAATTTAAGTCACCAAGTACAAAAATATCCAAGTCTAGGAGTAATGCGTCCGTGAGGCTGTTGGAAAGAGATTCAAAGCAGGTGGTTGGTGTTTGCGGTGGTCGGTACGTGTTACAAATCAAGAACGATTTAAAACTCCTGCATTGCACCTTCAACCACTGCTGCTGAAAGCCATCGTCATAAGCAGAAGATAAATCCTCCAGCACACTAATCTTTAGGTTTGACTTTGCATAAATACACAAGCCACCGCCAGCTTTATGTTGTCCACGGTCCTGTCTGAAGAGCTGATAACCAGGAATCTCAAGACTTGCATCGGACACAGTTAAATCCGCCCACGTTTCAGAAATGGTAAAAATATCAAATCTATTCTGTAGCACAGTATCCTTAACTAGACAGAAGTTCTCCCTTGCTTTCAAGGACCGAACATTCAAATGAGCGAGTTTAACATTTGCCTTCAATGCTTTTGGTATATCAAGCTTGGCTGACTCGTTATGTTGTCTAATAGGTCCTGGCTGTGGATGAATATCGCCGCTCCTGACTAGGGTAACACCAGCCGGGCTAAAAGAGGCCGTACAGTTCGAATAATATGCCACACGCGACTTCTGAAACCTTTTGCAGACTACGATGACAAAATGGCCGCCGGTTCGCCTCGGATACCTTGTTGATATAAGTTGGAGTTTGACCAAATACTTCCTGGACAGATGAGCCCCATCTGCCCTCTAAACGTTGGACAGCAGAACATTTGCAATATACAACATCGGAGAGGATGTAAGGGAGTGGGAAACAGAAATGCCTGGTGCATTAAGTATCCTAATAACTACTGTGATGATTCCATTAAGTGCCCATGTAGCCTGAAATACATGTAGCAATCAATTCAATTCACAAAAATTTCAGCCATCTATTTGATTCGCACATATCATAGTGTGCGAACAGAATAGATGGCTGACATTCAGGCCAGCACCCTTGGTAACTGATTAATAATAAGCTTAAATTAATAGTAATGGGTGTTTTACTACTGGGCTTAGCATTTCCCAGCTGCATTCCCTGCGCAGGCATTTGTTTTGAGCATGTGCAGAGGTAGCTTTTCAGTGTAAACCATGAGGGCCACCAAATTTTACTCGAGTTCTCACTTCACCAAGGTCAATCAGTTTTTCATGGTTTGTACGGCAGTTAAGTTTACTTTTACAAGGTCCATCGGAGTAACTGGAACTGTGAGTTTGTCTCACAGCGTCTCGCGTTGGAATAAACGTTGAAATTTATGGCTAGGTCAGGGTCAGGTCAGGTCAGGTCTGGTCAGGGGAAATGTCACCCATTGTTGTGATATGTGTCAATAAGCATTCACCTTGATCTTCATGATACATTTCTGAGGGTCATACAGGGGATTTCTCATGATGTGTGATTTGTTGATTTTATTTTCCGTGAAACGTGAATTTAAGAATTATTCTTCGTGATCCATGACCTGAAGGTTTCGCGTGACCCGTGAAGAACTTGAATTATGAACCAATATTGGTGATTTCACTACTCTATTCTTCGTGATTTTGAGACGCAAGTCCTCTGAATGGTTAGAGTCGTCTATTGAAAGGACTCGAAAGTGATTTAAGTATGTGATGTGCATATGGAGCCTTTACTTAGCCTTCCATGATTTTGCTTTCTTCAATCACCCTTTCTAGAGTAAGAACAGGTTAATAAGAAGGGTACCTTACTTGCTTATTTTTGTGATTTGAGAAAATGAAATTTTGATATCCGTGATTCATGATTCGCTATTTTTTCCGCTCGTGAACCGTGCCAGAGACCCCCTGTATGACCCTCATCTCTGTAAACTTTTCTCATCTTATCATTACCTAAGCATCCTGAGAACAATCGGCTGGTGAAACAAGGAGTTCCCGCTTTCCACCAGAAACCCCCTTTGGGAATTTGTAATTTTGTGAAAATCCCATTTCAGGAACCCAATTTATCGCAAGTTGTAAATGGCATATGATATTAAACTTTTAGCGTCATAGTTTTAGATGAAAGTAAACTTAATTAA